AAGTGGTGGAAACTAAGGAAAGAGACATGTTGTGAAGACTTCAGCAAGGAAGTTCTGGGCTGTGTTGAGAAATTCCCAGATGATTGGGAGACTACAGCTGCAGTGATAAGACAGGTAGGAATGTGCTAGGTATGTCCTTTAGGCAGAGAAAGGAGGACAAAGAAACCTCGTGGTACAATGAGGAGATCCAGGAGAGTGTGCAGAGAAAGAGATTAGTGAAAAAGAGATGGGACAGTGACAGAACAGAAGAGAACAGACTGGAGTACAAAGAGAGGACAAGGGAGGTGAAGAGGGAAGTGGCCAAGGCTAAACAAAAGGCATATGAGGAGTTGTATGAGAGTTTGGACACAAATGAAGGAGAAAAGGAGTTGTATAGATTGGTGAGACAGAAAACAGAAATCAAGCTGGGAAGGATGTGCAGCAGGTGAGGTTGATTAAGGACAGAGAGGGGAACGTAATCACAAGTGAGGAAAGTGTGCTGAGAAGATGGAAGGAATACTTTGAGGAGTTGTTGAATGAGGAAAATGAAAGGGAAAGTAGAAACGAGGAATCAGAGACTAGTAGGATGAAGTAAGAAAAGCCCTGAAGAAGATTAAGAGTGGAAAGTCAGTTGGTCCCGATGACATACCAGTGGAAGTACTTAGGAGAAGTGGCGGTAGATTTTCTGACTGGGTTGTTTAACAGAATTTTAGAGACGGACAAGATGCCTAATGAGTGGAGGAAAAGTGTTCTGGTGCCAATTCATAAGAAGGGTGATGCACAGAGTTGTAACAACTACAGAGGGATAAAGTTGATGAGTTATACAATGAAGATTTAGGAAAGAGTAGTTGAAGCTAGGTTGAGGCAGGAAGTGAAGATTTGTGAACAACAGTATGGTTTCATGCCTAGGAAGAGTACCTCAGATGCAATATTTGCCTTGAGGATGCTGATGGAGAACTACAGAGAAGGTTTGCCCTAAAGAGAAGAGGAATGAAGGTCAGTCGCAGCAAGACAGAGTACATGTATGTAAACGAAAGGGAGAACAGTGAAATAGTGAGGTTACAAGAGAAGAGGAATGAAGGTCAGTCGCAGCAAGACAGAGTCCATGTGTGTAAACGAAAGGGAGAACAGAGGAGGAGGAGAGGTGGTGAAGGTGCAGGAGTTTAGGTACTTAGGATCAACTGTTCAGAGCAGCGGAGACTGTGGAAGAGAGGTGAAGAATAGAGTACAGGCAGGATGGAACAGCTGGAGAAAAGTGTCAGGAGTGATCTGTGACAGAAGAGTGTCAGCTAAGGTGAAGGGAAAGGTTTACAGGACAGTGGTGAGACCAGCCATGATGTATGGTTTAGAGACGGTAGCAATGGGCAGAAGACAGGAGGCACAGGTGAAGGTGGCAGAGTTAAAGATGCTAAGATTCTCTTTAGGAGTGACTAGAATGGACAAGATCAGGAATGATGTCATTAGAGGGACAACACAGACAGGAAGGTTTGGAGAAAAAGCTAGAGAAGCCAGATTGAGATGGTTTGGACATGTGCAGAGGAGGGACAGTGGATACATTGGTAGAAGAATGTTAGAGATGGAGCTATCAGGTAGGAGAAAAAGAGGAAGGCCAAAGAGGAGATATATGGATGCAGTGAGGGAGAACATGCAGAGAGTTGGAGTCAGAGTAGAAGATAAAGAGAACAGGCAATGATTTGCTGTGGCAACCCCTGAAAAAAAGGGACAAAGCCGAAATAAAAAGATTATTTTAATGCAGGGGTGTCCAAGAAGTAGATCGGGGAAAAGCGAGTGCTGGTAAATCGTGAGGAATTAAATAAAAAATAAATATATATGTATATATATTTATTTATAAATAATGTTTGTAATAGTGACTATATACTGTAAAAATATTATATTTATCTAAATATATAAAGTATGTTCAGTTTATATGAGTAAATATATATTTATCATTTTCATTGTAGGTGCATCACTTTAGCCTGGTCATTTCAACAGTAGTGTGGACACCCCTGGCTAAGTGGACATAGTGATACTTAGTTTAGGTGACAGTTTATCTACTAAAAATCAGGAAATACTGTGTTCTTTAATTGAAATGCTCTATTGGTGTGAAAGCTCTGCACACTTTCTGTTCAGCTGACTGTGTCAACTATTCAGAACGTGAAATTTTATTTATCTTTACTTTTCAACATTATATTTATATAATAATAATAATAATTAGAACTTTACTGATTCCATATATTATATGGGAACCTCATATTTTCAGATCTGCTGTAACATGCTGCCCATGGGAGGCACCAAGTATGTGGTTCCTCTGGGAATCGAAACCCAGGACTCCCTGCTCTTTTCTTTCAAGGCATGCGTGCTAACTGCTACACTATGGAACTATGGAATAAACAGATGATTATGCACTTTTGGTCTGAAATAATCTTCTGTTAATGAGAAGGACAAAAATCCACCTACAGTACATATTGTATGTCACCCATTACCCACAGAGCTGTGACACCTGTTTAGAACTGCATTCCAGGTCATTGCATATTTATTGAAAACCCAACCTAATGTACAGTGCTCAGTATTAGCATTACACCAAGTTGTTTTTTTATGTATTTATCTTCTATTTTATCTTGTTCATATTACTATCTCATATTTTTAACTCACCATGTGCAACATCCGGAGACAAATGAGGGGAGGGGGTGTTAACCTGGGTGTGTTTGTATTGGTCAGTTCTCTATGGGAGCAGTTGTTGGGTTAGTTTTCTAGTTGTGCCGTAGGGGAAAGTATTAGGTTCACGGTGGCATGTCCCTGAGCTCAGTGTTTGTTCACAGTTGGAAAGGCTTGAACTACTGAAGAGTTTATTTCTAGCCTTAGATGGGTTGAAAAATACCAGTGCAGATGTCATTCAGATTCATAGCAGGCAACGCAAACCTTCTGGAGAATAGCACTTGTCTTGGTTTGTGGAACCTTACGTAAAATGGAGTGCAGCTACTTAAGATCCTGTCAATATGTGAGCTGTCCAGAGGCAACAGGTATGATCCAGAGAGATGACAGTGTTACAAAAGTGAAATTTTAAAATTAAACTTTTCATTTTATATATAGAAATTGACATTGTGCCTGTCTGTTATGTAGTTTCCCACAGGGATTGTAGATAAAATCACTGTACTGTAAAATTACTTTAATGATTGACAATAATAATAATACAGCAAAACAAACTACGCAATTTAAATTTCAAATATTGTAAAAGTTGCAGGTGTTACAAATAAATAATGTGCGGCTAAAAGGACAATGTAATTTCTAACCTAAACCTAATTTTGGTTGGACAGTTGTCAGAACTGGAATGTTAACTTCAAAAAGGCTAGGAATCTGCCAGCTTTGTAAGTAAAGGGCAAGCGTAAAGTTTATGTAGAGAAGGAGGACAAAGCAGGAGAAAAAAAAGAACAGAAATTTGTGAGATTGTAAGGTGTTCGTAAACCTAGTTTGTCTGCATGGTTTTGTAGAAAATAATTGAAAAGATCAGGGTGTCTTGAAATTGTGTCACACAGTCTTGACATTGTGTCACACAGTACATATATAACAGCAAATCATAGGTGATCTTAACAGCTAGTTGAAGTTGTAGTTGTTTAGAGAGGAAATACTATCAAAGCTGGAGTTGTCCTACAGGTTGTAAACATTAAAACAATAAATTAATAAACAGCCCATAAAGTAAAAATTAGTCAAAATGGAGATTTAGACCGTGCTTAAAGGCTCTGAATATGCTAAAATAACTTTAAAAAGTGCATTGTAACAATGACAAATATTTCTTTGAGCCACCACTTTTTATATCCAACTCAGTAAAAAGTTGAGGTGTTCATAACATGAGGTGTTCACATGCCTTAGTTTTACCATTTAAAGCCACAATACTCCATAATTCATTTCCAGAAGATAACGATCAGGCAGTTCAGTTATTATAGCAAAGAGCATTTGAAAAGAAGCTGCATATATTGGACGATTGAGCCAAACCATTTTGGTTTGGCAGTGATACAATTCATGGTATCACAGTAAACCTATAATAATTATTTAAAAAAAGAAACGTCTGAAATGTGTGGTTTAATTTCTGAAAATATGTGTAAGTAATATTTTGAGCATCGTAAGAGGACAAATGACTTTCCTCAGTATATTTCAGATTCTGCTTTACTGTTAGAAATAAAGTATTATACTACTGCTACAGTTTTACCTAATACTTTTAGAATGCTTAATACTTCTGGTTAAAAACTATGTTTTTGTTTCAGAGAGGAGTGGGAGAGAGGTGATGTCTAAAGGTTCCACTGGCATGGAGGTCATCCTGTCCTCACTGAAGGTCAGCCCAGTCTTTATTTATACATAGATTATACAGCAGCAAAACTACCAAACAAGGTTAAGTCACTTTACACACACACGCACACCTAAAATCTGAAACAGGTTTGAACACTTTTAACTGATTTTCGGTTTAATGTTTGTCCTGATTTTAAAGATTATTTTTGGGGGTTAAAAAAGCCCCAATTATATGAAACATAACAAAGCTCACATTTGACAGAGATATATTTATAAAACTTGTCCTAGCTATTGAAAGATGCATGAGAGGTGTCTATAACAGGGTTTACCATGGTTTTTAAAATCAGCCCTGCTTTATATGACATCCTTGTATATATGGTACAAATGAACATATATGTATAAAATATAGACCTAAATATGAACTTGTATAAATATATAATAATATATACAAATATATATGGATATATGTATGTATTTATGTATGTATATATGTACGTATATGCGTGTAAAATGTAAAGCAGTCATTGTTTTTATTTGAATGCGTAAGCATATTTTACATTTGAAAATGTTATTTTACTGATACATTTCACAGCTGAGTGAAGCTCTCTAATGGGATTTGCATCAAATTGTGGAATAGAAATGATTGCATGCTGTGTAACATTTTAACAAGGGTACTGTTTGTGACTGACAGAACACTCAGGATGTCCAGACCACCCTGAACATCCTGTCCATTCTCACTGAGCTGCTTACTGCGGGTGAGCTGCTTTATAATTCCCCTAATTCTAGTGCCAGTAACATGTGTTAATGTGATTGTGCTATCGGTGATTGATTTGGGAGGTAAATGGTAAATTTGAGAAAAGTAACATTTATTGTTTTGTTCTTTTTTTCAGGTAGAGGTCGAAGGGTGGGACTGTTCGTTTCTAAAGGAGGAACAGGAGTGTTGTTCCAGATTCTGACCACAGCTATGAAAGAGATGGCTCCCAGTGAGGAACTGATGCTGCAGCTTCACTCACTTCTGGCCAAGGTTGGGCCAAAAGGTAGGCATTATGACTGAAATATAAAAAGAAACAAATTTACCAAATTATGTGTTCAAACTGTTGCGTTTTTGTTCTTGGTTTTGTCTTTTTTTTTATATTATCACATCCTAAAATTACAATGTACATTTTCTCCATATTTGGACAACACTATTCATTATCACAACTGCACATATAGTTTGTGTTCCAATAGATAAAATGTGGGACAAACATAATATTTTGATATGAGACACATAGACTAGACTGAAAAAAAGTTTAATCTGAATTAATGTATAACATATAACAATTAATTTAAAGTTGTTTACACTGCAAGTACAGTAGTCCACTGTTCTTTATATATAACAATTATTATGTATGACTACCTGCATTGTTGGACACTCAGTTTGTTTAAGGGTCTACACACAGAGGACCTCGTGCCTTGTTGTGCTTGGTGAATTAGATTATGACTTGATTGATTTGCTTGTCCATGTCCACTCTGTGGTATTTGTCAATCACACCTGAAATATGCTGTCCCTAACCCCCCCTCTGGGGACCGGTACTGGTCTGCAGTGGGACACAGTGAAAGAATGTACTTCAGTTTTACTAATTTACTTCATTCAAAAAGAATCCAGTCATATCCCTTGACTTTTTTCATTGAAAGATAATCTAGCAATGTTTCAAAACCATATGTCATTCAGACTCTAACAGAGTGATACTAACATAATAAAATCTAAAATATGTTTTATTTTGAAAATGTAATGATCCTTCAACAATGGTGTGGTATTACTGCTCCGCAGTAACGTCTGGCGGACTGGTCCTCGGTAGAAAAAAGGTTAGGGGCCACCAGTGTAGGGGAATTCTGGAACAAGAAGTGGTTGATCCATAGTTGCCTGTTGTACTGTATACTGACATAACAGCCTCTGTGTTCAGACAGAAAGTTTGGAGTGAAGGCACGTCTGACTGGAGCTCTGAATGTCACTGTCAACTTAATGAAACAGAAACCACAAAATGCCAAACTGCTACTGCCCTGCCTGCAGGTCCTAAGGGTTTATTCCACCAACTGTGAGTAACTGTTAACTGTTAACTGTTAATTCAGTGCATTTCTTCAAATGTTCCCTGTTGTCTTTAAAGTCAAAGTCTCTGTCAGTGTTACTCATCCATTGCTGTTTTTCTTTCTCCTGTTGTGCCTTCACTAAAGTGTCTCTTTGTTTTTAAGCGGTCAATGCTATTTCTTTGGGCAAGAATGGTGTGGTGGAGCTGATGTTCAAGATAATTGGACCATACAGCAAAAAGAATACCACTCTGATCAAGTAACTACCCGTTTTCTCTAATAAGTCACACAAACATCACCTATTGGTAGGTCAGTATATTTGGTGATTCTGTTTGGAACATTTATTAAAGACAAAATGTCAGACATTGACCACACAAATTTTATCAATTTATTAAAAATGAAATTTCTTCAGTGCATTCTATTACATTGATGCAGATGAAAAATTTGACTGAAAAAGTCTCACGCAAAGCATTTATTTGCTTAATTTGCAGGTTAACCTGCAAATTTTGGATGTTCAAACCCTAACCTGAGCTTCTGTCTAAGATCTGTTTCTTTGCAAGCAATAATGGCCAAAAAAAAAAAAGAGTACTGTGCATTAAAAGAGTCTTGATGGCACAGAATTTCCAAGATATGCAGGAGATTTAGGAAGAAAATTGAACTGAAAGTCTTTCCTTTGTCCTCTTTCCTCAATAGCTTGTGTTCTTTAATAAATTTGAGATTTGGGGATTTGTTTTGCCTTTTGATAAAATATACCAAACTTTAAAAAATGGGTGTGTAAATTGTTTAAATGTTATACAACACTAGTGATAGTCAAAAGTTTCTTCATTCTGGACTCATTCCATTTTCTCATGAATTAACAGAGTAGCATTGGACGCACTGGGAGCCCTGCTTAAATCCAGTAAGTTATTAACTTCATGACATTGACGTTTGAGCATTGTACTGGAGTGATTATCTTAGGGTGTTGGTTATTGTGTTATTTTTGCAGTTTATGTTAATTATTGAACATATCATAACTCTAATGTTATTTCTCATCTTCCATCTCCTTTAACTCTCCTGTGCAGAAACGAATGGGCGCCGGGCAATGGAGAGCAAATACATGCCCGTCCTGCTGGCTCTATACCTGGACTGGCATCGGAACGACATGCGACATCGTCATATGCTAATACGCAAGGCCTTTCTGGTCTGTATCAGGAACGTCACAAACATCAAGCTTGGCAGGAAGGCGTTTGTTGACTCGGATGGCATGAGGATTCTCTATAACTCGTCTGTTGTAAGTGTGATGCAGAGTTAGACATCATTCTAAACATTCAGCTAATAACGTCATAACTATGCAATGCACAGTATAGACCAGGCACAGGCAAACTAAGCCCAAGGGCCAGATGCAGCCCATTTGGCTTTTTAATCTGGCCCGCCAAACTTGTCCAAATTATATTATTAATTTATATTATCATTTTACTTAGGCTTTTTCCCTGCAATGTCTGATTTTGCCCAATAAACGATATAGAAAAAGCTAAGAGCATGACTTTAACATCTTTTATCTTAGTTCACACTAATGCTCCATCTAGTTCACATCTGTTCCTGATCCCCACACCCCTGTCAAATCTTAGGACCCACTGTGGCCCACTGTGGAGTCAAAAAGTTTACCCATGCCTGGTATAGGCACAGTTTTAGCTGTTGACTCTTTTACTTTTGACCTCATCTTCAGGAGTGTCTCTCAGTGCGAACTCTGGATCCTCTGGTCAATATGTCAAGTCTTATAATGAGAAAGTGTTTTCCTAAGAACCGTCTGCCTCTGCCCACCATCAAGTCGGCTTTTCTCTTCGAGCTCCCACACATTCCTGTCGCTGGGCCCGTGGCACAGCTGTACAGCCAGCCTGCTGGAGGTAAGCACAAACGATCTTATACACACTCCTTTAAATAAACACATACTTCTCTTAAATGTGCACTGGCCTATCACAGTGTATGCAAATGCCCGATACTGATAATTATATGCTGCAACTCACATCTACCATATAAGTATGCCTGAAAGTCTATGTCCCTAGTCTGACGTAATGAATAACAGCAACCCTTGTGACACTGCTGCACACAATGTGCTTTACAGCAAGAACAAGTCAGCAGTTCAACAACAAGCCCTTAAAGAAGGGTAAGACATACGTAAGGCACAACTCTATCCTCAGACAACATGGACTCACTCACTACTCTTTTCTCATTCTTCCCATCCTATACGTTTAACTTCACTCAATTAATACATGTGTTAGTTTTTTTTGAAGTTGCCAAATGCTTTGTGCACATTCTGCAGTGCTTGTCTGCACCTGCTGGTCACTGTATTAGGTACATCTTGTTTGTAAAGGGTTAGGCTTGTATAAGGAAGATATTAAACATCACTGTTGCCTTTCTATCGTCTTATGCCTGTTTGGACATTCCTCTGTGACCAGTCACATCACATCTTGTGCTCACTGAATATTTCCTCTTCAATCAAACCTAGATATTGTTGAGTAAATAAAAACCTTAAGGAACAGCATGTTTTTATCAAACAGGTGTTTTCAAAGTCATTAAAATGTCTTTCCCGTGCTAGTCTTCTTCTTTTTCTTTTGGCTTTGTCCCTTTTTTTCAGGGGTTGCCACAGCGAATCATTGATTTCCATCTCTCCCTCTTCTCTGTATCTTCTCCTCTGACTCCAACTCTCTGCATGTTCTCCCTCACTGCATCCATATATCTCCTCTTTGGCCTTCCTCTTTTTCTCCTACCTGGTAGCTCCATCTCTAACATTCTTCTACCAATGTATCCACTGTCCCTCCTCTGCACATGTCCAAACCATCTCAATCTGGCTTCTCTAGCTTTTTCTCCAAATCTTCCTGTCTGTGTTGTCCCTCTAATGACATCATTCCTGATCTTGTCCATTTTTGTCACTCCTAAAGAGAATCTTAGCATCTTTAACTCTACCACCTCCAGCTCCACCTCCTGTCTTCTGCCTATTGCTACCGTCTCTAAACCATACATCATGGCTGGGCTCACCACCATCCTGTAAACCTTTCTATTCACCTTTGCTGATCCTTCTATCACAGATCACTCCTGACACTTTTCTCCAGCTGTTCCATCCTGCCTGTACTCTATTCTTCACCTCTCTTCCACAGTCTCCGCTGCTCTGAACAGTTGATCCTAAGTACCTAAACTCCTGCACCTTCACCACCTCTGCTCCTATTTCACTGCTCCTATTTCACTGTTCTCCCTTTCGTTTACACACATGTACTCTGTCTTGCTACGGCTGACCTTCATTCCTCTTCTCTCTAGTGCAAACCTCCTCCTCTCTAGGTTCTCTTCTAGCTGCTGCCTACTCTCACTACAGATCACAATGTCATCTGCAAACAACATAGTCCATGG